TGTTCTCGAAGGGTAACAGCAGCTCTGTGCACAAGGGCACGAGTTGGAAACAACACAAGGGTTGTCAGCTGGTGAATGGATGAAGAGACTGGGACACAGACAGAAGACAACTCATCAATAAAAAGATATAAAATATTGTTTAATGCAACAACGTGGGTGAAACTCAAAATCATTATGCTAAATAAAAGAAAGTATCTTATACCCCAATCAAAATAGCTTAAAAAATTTTTTTTAAATGATCTAAGTTTTCATCTTAAGGAAGGAAAAGCAAAGCAAATTAAACCCAAAGTATACAAAAGGAAATAAAAAAGAGCAGAAATCAATGAAATGGACAAACAGTTGAGAAAAATAAAACCTAGTCTTTGCAAAGATCACCTGAATAAACCTCAAGCTAAAATGATCAAGAGAAAAATGAGAAACCCAAATCACCAATATCAGGAATGGAAAAGGAGACATCAGTACATATCCTACAGACATGAGAATATTCTGAACAACTTATTTTTTTCTTTATTGATTGCAGAGAGAGAGAAAGGGAGTGGGAGAGACAGAGAGAAACATTAATGAGAGAGAACATCGATTGGTCGCCTCCTACATGCCCCCCACTGGGGATCGGGCCCACAACCTGGGCATGTGCCCTGACTGGGAATCGAACCAGAGACCTCTTAGTACATGGATCGATGCTCAACCACTGAGCAACACTGGCTGAGCCTGAACAACTTTTATATCAATATATTTTACAACTTAGATGAAATGAACACATTCCTTCAAAGAAAAAAATTAGCAAAGCCGACTTGAGAACGAATATAACAGATGACTAACCCTATATCTATTAAATAAATTGAATTCACAAATAAAAACCTTCTCAAAAAGGAAACTCCATGTCCAGATTGCTTAATTGGTGAATTCTAGCAAATATTTAAGGAAGAAATACTACCAACCCAACACAAACTCTCCCAGAAAACAGAAGGGAACACTTAACATGTTTGTTCCGCCAGACTACCACTGCCCTGATGCCAAACCAGACAAAGACATGACAAGAACAGAAACATACAAACCAACATTTTTCATGAATATTGACAAAATTCTGTAACAAAATAGCAAACTGGATCCAGCAATATAAAAAATGGATATCATGCCGTGACCAAACGGGTTTATTGCAGAAATACGAGGTTGGTTTAATATTCAAAAATCAACATGTCATTTACCATATTTACAAAATAATGGAGAAAAATGATATAATCATCTCAATTGGTACTGAACAAGCACTTAAAAAATTCAACACACATTCATGATAGAAACTTTAAGCAAGCACGGAAAAGAAATGCTTCAATCTGATAGAGGCCATGTTTTTAAAAAAACACTTACAGCTGACATCATATTCAATAAACAATGAACACTTTCCTCTTAAGATCAGGAACAAAACTAAGACATGCTCTCACAACCTCTATTCATCACTGTGCTGGCAGCCATAGCCGAGCCAGTGCAATAAGAAAAAGGAATCAAGGGCATACATACTGGTGAGAAAGAAGTAAAACTGTCTTTACTGATGTGCTCGTCACAGAAATCCTAAGAATATTTTTAGCCCAGCCGGTGTGGCTCAGTGGATTGAGCGTCGTCCCCTGGACAGAGATCCTGGTTCGATTCCCATTTAGGGAACATGCCCAAGGTTGCATGCTCAATCCCCAGTAGGGGGCGTGCAGGAGGCAGCTGGTCGATGTTTCTCTCTCACACTAATGTTTCTGTATCTCTCTCCCTTCCTCTCTCTCACTGTAAAAAAAAAAAAAAATCAATAAAAACATTAAAAAATAAAGTTAAACATACACCTTTCCCATGACCTAGCTATTTCATTCTGAAGTGGAATTGAAGAGAAAGGAAAACTAAGAGTATGCCAGGACGGTAAGAGAAGGCTAACACAGGCTTTTTCATAATAGCCAAAGCGGGAAAAATCCCAACGTGCAACAGGAAAATGACCAATCATGGCATAGTCATATAACAAATAAAGGGGAACAAACTACTGGTACACACAACATGTATGAATTTTAAAACCTGTTACATGCAAGAAGCCAGAGACAGAGAACATGTAAGTATATAGGACACAAATGATTCTCTTATATAAGGCATAAGAGTAGCTAAGATCCCATTTATATGAAACTCAAGAACTGACAAAATGGATTCAGGAAACAGAAATCAGAAAGGAATTTGGGGTGGGTGCCAGGGGCCAAGGAACTGGTTGCCAAGCAGCAGAAGGGACCTTTGGGAGTGGTGGGGACATCTTCGCTGGGTATGGTTACACAAGGGCACACATTTCTTGAAACTCATTAAGCTGTACAACTCAAATTAGTACATTTTATTTAGAATTTTATACCTCAGTACACTTCCTTACAAAGGAAAGATGAACATTTAAATAATGATTATTTGTATCCACGGCCCCTCTGCCCACAGCCCCACGCCAAGCAGGGCAGGCTGCGGGGCGGCTGTGGGGCGTCCGCGGGCCAGCTGGGCAGTGATGACCTGGCCGGCCCGGTGGTCCAACCCTCACAGGAGGCTGTGTTCAGGGTTTTGCTTTGTTTGGTTCCGCTTCACTCGGTAGTGTTTTTTCTTGTTTTGTGAGTTGATGTGAAGACTGAATTTTCTCCTAAACTCACTTCTTTTCCTGTCACTAAATTCCAGTTCCACTTGTCCCCTGAAGAGCACACGTACCCCAAGCGAGAGGAACACTGCAAACCCACCCACCCGGAAACGCGCGAGTGCGGACGGGGCTGTGCCGCAGAGGCAGAGGGGCCCTGAGCACGCGGCGCCCAGGTCGCTCTGCTCACTCCGCGGCCTCCAGACTCCTGGACTCCTGGCTGCCAGCGAGCCAGTGCCACACCCTCTGCCCTGCCCATCGTCGAAACTCTACTTCTTAGGCAGATCTCTGTCAATCTGGTCAGTACCAAAAGGAGTCTGACTCCAGAAGTCTTTAAGACACCACAATATCAGGCCAGTGCGCAGGGCTGGCAGACGTAGCCTTGCTCCCCTTCACCCAGGGCAGGAGCCCGGCGGCCCCGACTCTGTGAGGGGCACCTCAGCAAACGGCCCCAGGTGGCAGTCGGCTCCCTGCCGTGCCCGTCACAGACAGAACTAATACTCACAGTTACAGGTGTCAAACACAAGTCCTTTTTTATCTGATCCAACAGAGAACACCAAAACCATAACAAACATCTGTGCTCTGTTTTCAAGAACGATAGAAAGAACATGAAAGACAGTGTCACAAACATAATCACAACATCCATGTAACGGGGAAAATGGAGTTAAAAAAGGAAACACTTAAGCAGAAGTTGGACTCCACAAAGACCCAGTCAAGTAAGACAGTGACAAACCCGGCACAGCCCACCAGGTGCCGAGAAGGACACAAGGCCGGCACCTGAGCAGAGCACAGCCACTGACAAGGCCAGAACGGCAGAAGACAGCCAAGGTTTGACGACGGCTACACACCTCTGAGACCGCTTACTCAACAGAGAACCAGCCCTCATCACCATGACAATTTCTGGAAATACCATGCAGTGGGGACCCGAGTCGCCAAGAAACACAGAGGTGCTCGATGCCCCTCATAAAATCAGCAGACATGCAGTGGGTTTCGTGGAGGCGGCCAAGAGCGGTTCCCATTTTCGCCATTTCGGTTGAAGTCCCGTGTCCGCGCGTCTGGGCGCCAGACAGGCGGACAGCCATCCCCGACGGCGTTTGGGTTTAACTCCACCCCGGTGCCACTTGTCTCAGTGGAAATGGTACCAGACTGAATTCACCTTCCTGTCCCAGAGCGTTTATAGAACCACCACATGGAGTCAATGAATGTTTAAAACTTTTCGCCCAGCTGATGTGGCTCAGTGGACTGAGCGTCATCCCAGAGACTGAGAGGTCCCAGTTCAATTCCCGGCCAGGGCACATGCCCGGGTTTGGGGCTCGATTCCCAGTAGGAGGCGTGCAGGAGGCGGCCAATCGATGTTTCTATCTCTCTCTCTTTCCCTAAAAAAAAAAATCAATAAAAACATTAAAAATAAAATAAATGTTTGAAACTTTTCAAGCACATTTTGAAAATGGGATTTCTCCTGTTATTATAAAACATATCTAACAGAAAAAAAAAAATTCTAAATGGGGGAAAAAGGAGAAACATCTGTAACAAAAATAAAATAATCAAAGAAGAAAAACCAACCATTCTACCTACTTATTTGTGGGCTCATTATCACCTACTGAAATCCTGTGTTCTTTCACTTTTCAATTAGCTAGTGAGTCTGTTTCTCATCCCCTCTCCCCCTCTAAATACAACACCCTGGCTCCCTCCACAACACTCCCTTCTCTCTGGTTAACTCCCGGCCCGGCCCCTGGCCCCGGCCCGGCCCCCGGCCCCCGGCCCCGGCCCCGGCCCCGGCCCCGGCCCCGGCCCCGGCCCCGCCCTCCCGCAGCTGCAGCAACGCACTCATTGCCTGGCGCCTGTGCTGACCGGGAACTTTGGAGCTGCATTGTGAACGGAGGAAGCACAAGCCCGCCCTCCCGCTGCCCAGTGTGACCAGGGCACAGTTACCCTTCCAGGACACCTGGCAACCTGCCCTGCCCGGCTGTGCTGCGCTCAGGCGATCTGCGTAATCCTGACACTGTCCCGGGAGACAGGGCCTGTCCCACCCGCTCTGCGGCCGGCAGGCTGTGGTGGGAGGCGAGGCAGCTGCTGCACTGGAGCAGGATCTGAGCCTGGCTCCGACTCGAGTGCACGGCCCGCACGCCCGCACGGCCCGCCCCAGCCCGCCCAGCCCGCCCTGTTCCCGGCGCTGTGGTCTGTGCCTGCTCACTGGATGAGTCCCTCAGGTTCACAGCACCAGGCTTTATCTGACCACAAAGCATATATCTGTCTTCATACGGAAAGGTCACTACTGTCGTAACTCAAAGAGTTAGAGGGCAAGTCCAGCGAAAGAGTGTAGGGTTGGGCAGCCTTTAAAAGTTGCTGTTTAAAAAATACATGAGAATATTACCTGGGGTTACAGTTAGCTGAAAGCGATGAAGCTTGTTTGGGTCAGGAAAATGCACTTTACATGTACCTGCAAGAGAAACCACACGTCAGGAAGATCTGAGAGCTGGTGGCCCACGGCGAGGCCGGCCTGGAAACACCCCAGGTCAACGGGTCGGATCCCCTCGCTGTTTGATGACTGCCAATGTGCTCAAGTGGCAAGCCAGTGGTTTTTCCCATGTGATTTCCTGCTAGTCTTTGACTACTTAATGCCAAATTGAGATGTTTTCTTTCCTCCCCTGTGGTCACTAACAACAGAAATCTTTCCATTAATTTCAGAATTATGCTACTTTACCCTGAGAAGAAACCATATAGGGACTAAAGTACATGCATAAAGGACAGCTACACGTGGAAAAACCAGAAAAAGAACCCAGGTCAAACTTCAGGTCTGCTCACCTAGCAACAATCATTCCCACTACCACAGAAAGTGAACGTTAAAAAGAAAAGGCTGTTAGCTAAGTAATGTACACCTAGAGTTTTCTGTGGCATTTAAATAAAAATGTCTTCACAATCCAATGGTAACTGAACTTGCTTCATTGGTGAACTGCTGTTCTGCTGACATGGCCACGCGCCGGGCCCACCTGCTACCTGACATGGCCACGCGCCGGGCCCACCTGCTACCTGACATGGCCACGCGCCGGGCCCACCTGCTACCTGACATGGCCACGCGCCGGACCCACCTGCTACCTGACATGGCCACGCGCCGGGCCCACCTGCTACCTGACATGGCCACGCGCCGGGCCCACCTGCTACCTGACATGGCCACGCGCCGGGCCCACCAGCTACCTGACATGGCCACGCGCCGGACCCACCTGCTACCTGACATGGCCACGCGCCGGGCCCACCTGCTACCTGACGTGGCCACGCGCCGGGCCCACCTGCTACCTGACGTGGCCATGCGCCGGGCCCACCTGCACCACACACACCAGAAGGTCTGTTCAGGCCCTGGAGCTCCTGCTGGAGAGAAGGGCCAGCGCTGCAGAGCACACGCTGACCGCATCCTGCACCTGCCTCCTTCACACAAATGATCCAGATAACAGTAAATACCCAAGGAATTTGGTGAGAATATATAAATTGTCGATATTTTATAAACATGGAAAATCTTACACTAAATTCCTTGAGTCACCTACTATTTCTTACAAGTCCCACTGAAGCTATTTGCCTGGTTTTACAACAGTATGAATTTTCATCCAAAATAGAATGATTCAAACTTAGACTTGGAAATGGCCTTGGAGACCAGGTAGCACAGAATCCTCAGTCATGAGACGACGTGAAGGTCTGGGGGATTCAGGGAGCAGACCGAGATCACACAGAAGGAAGCTCAGTCCCCACATTAGGAGCTCGTTCGGGATCCCTTTCCCTCCATGCGCTTCGCCCAGCACTGCGAACATGCCGGGGCGCCACACGGCACAGCGCGGACTGCGGGTGGGTCTCTTAGCTAGCCCGGCGGCAGGGAGCCACCACGAATGAACGCTGGCCCGTCCAGAAGACAAGAAGGGGCCTCAGAGACGACACTGGCGTACTCCTTGTTTAGAAGTAAAGCACATGGGTCCAAAGAGTTCAAGACTTTCTCCCAAATCACACAGGTGAACTATGTATGAAATAATTTAAATGGGCTTCATTTCTCCCAATCTTAAATTGAAAAGCTAAAGGCCACCTTTCTAGTACAATACATGTAATGAAAACATGACAGCCCTGGCCGGTTTGGCTCGGCAGTCAGAGCGGCAGCCTGCAGACCAAAGGGTCGTGGGTTCAATTCTAGTCAAGGGCACGTACCTTGGCCTGCAGTTCGGTCCCTGATCCTGGTCAAGATCATGTGGGAGGCAGCCAATTGATGTGTGTCTCTCACATCAATGGTTTTTCTCTCTCTCCCTTCCACTCTATCTGAAGATAAATGGAAAAATATCCTCGGGTGAGGATTTAAAAAAAAACAAACAATAAAACTACTTAAAAAAATCTCAAAAATTTAAAGCTCAAAAAAGTCAAAGTTCTGCCCTGGCCGGTTTGGCTCAGCGGTTAGAGCATCGGCCTGTGGTCCAGAGAGACCCGGGTTCGGTTCCCGCTAAGGGCATGTACCTCGGTTGCAGTTTGTCCCCGGCCCAGGTTGGTCGTGCGGGTGGCAACCACTCGATGTGTCCCTTTCACGTCAATGTTTCTCTCTCTCTCTCTCTCTCTCTCTCTCTCTCTCTCTCTCTCCCTCCCACTCTATCTGAGCAAAAAAAAAAAAAAAAAAAGTCAAAGTTCTAACAGCAGCAATGAAAGTCAAGCCCTGGCCGGTTTGGCTCAGCGGTTAGAGTGTTGGCCCGCAGACTAGAGAGTCCCGGGTTCGGTTCCCACTAAGGGCACATACCTTGCTTGGTTGCAGTTTGTCCCAGGCCCCATTTGGGGTCATGTGGATGGCAGCCATTGGATATCTCTCTCTCACATCGATGTTTCTCTCTCTCTCTTCCTCCCTCTCTCCCTCCTGCTCTATCTAAAAATAAATGCAAAAATGTCATCGGGTGAGGATAAAAAATAAATGAATGAATGAATGAATGAATAAATAAATAAATAAATAAATAGAGGGTGAAGTCAGGTTTATTTTAGTTCGGTGCAGCAGCTTTATTACAGCTCCGGAACTAAGCTCTCCTCTGTTCCAGGCAGGGGCTAGGATGCTCATAATATTTCCATTTATCTGAAAGTGCTAGTTTTTAGCTTTCACAGAGAGTTCTCTATAAACATGCATGTACAGAGACCTAGGCTAGCCCTGGCCAGTTTTGCTCAGTGGTTAGAGCGTCGGCCTGCAGTCCTGAGAGACCCGGGTTCGGTTCCTGCTAAGGGCACGCACCTCGGCTGCAGTTTGTCCCCGGCCCTGGTTGGTTGTGTGGGTGGCAACCACTTGATGTGTCCCTTTCACGTCGATGTTTTTCTCTCTCTCTCTCTGTTCCTCTCTCTCCCTCCCCCTCTACCTGAACAAAAAATGGAAAAATGTCCTCGGGTGAGGATAAAAAAGAAACAGAGGTCTAGGCTAGTTCTGAATGACTAAGCAGCAACTTTACATGGCAAGCGATTTCATCTGCCACAGTGAATATTTTAGAGAGATTACTGTAAAAAAAAAAAAAAAAAAATATATATATATATATATAGACACACACAAATAAGAGCCCTAAAAAAAAATTCACTGAACAGACAGTAAAGATTTATTTGGTGGCTTATTTCCTCTTTGAAATAAGCTGCATACTTTTGGAAAACGTGGCTAATTTATACAAACTAATTTAGATTCCCCCATTGTGATTGGGGGCGAGGGTATGGAGAAAAAGAGAAGAGGGATATAGCATACAGCCTTTAAAACAATTTTTTTAAATTGATTTTAGAGAGAGGAAAAAAATGAGAGAGAGAAACATCCATTGGCTGCCTCCTGCACTTGCCCTGACCGGGGATCAAACCCACCACCTTTTATTGTCTGGATGACACTCCAACAAGCCACACACTGGCCAGGGCTAGCACAAAGCCTTTTTAATCTGATACTTCAGCCGTAAGAGTTAAGATATTCAGTTAAACCTAAGGTATTTAATTAAAATATTGGTTTGAAAATCAACTGTGCCTTAGATACAAAATTTTAAAAGGAAAAATGCCCTGGCCAGGTGGCTCAGTTGGTTGCAGTGTCACCCTATATACCAAAAAGATTGCGGGTTTGATTGCCAGTCAGGCACATACCTAGGCTGTGGGTTCTATCCCTGGTCGGGGCACGTATGGGAGGCAACTGATCGATGTTTCTCTCTCACATCCATGTTTCTCTCCCTCTCCCTTCCCCTCTCTAAAATTAGTTAAAAAACATCAACAACAACAAAAACATATCCTTGGGTGAGGATTAAAAAAAGAGAGAGAACAGTATAATGAACCCATCACCCAGCTTCAACATTTTGCCGATCTTGCTTTTGTCTGCAAATACAGGGTTATCTGTTTGTTGGTCTTCCTGGAATAGTTTAAAGTAAATCACTTTTAAATACTTCAGCAGGTAAAAAGACAGCCTTTGAACAGAACCCCAAGATACTTCCTTCTAGTTCTGACTGGAAGATAACTTTGAGGTCAAACAATCCAATGACTTTTAGGACATTTTTGGCTGGGACCCACGATAAGAAACATTTTATATTACAACCCAGTATACCCATAAATACTATATATTAAAACTACTTAAAAACCCCAAACATTTGTCCTTACCCTTAGAAACTGATTGCAAGACTACTGAAGGAGCACCCCACACGGTCTTCCAGCTTCGGGCGGGGTGGGACGAGCCCCTCTTCCCTGTCGCGCGGGCTCACTCACACCAGGCTCTGCAGCCTTTGCCCAGACAGGAGACCACATATAAAATATTTCTCCCCATCACAAACATCTTCAGCGTCAGAACAATTTTTTTAACCAAGTATGACGAGAAAAAGTTCTAATTCAAAAAAAATATTAAAATGGCCAAAGCTTTCAGACTTTGAAGGTCTTAAAAAATAAAGAAAATAAATAAAAAAGGAACTTTGCCACACGTCCGAAGATCGCGGCCTGGACAAAGCCCGCGAGCGAGCGAGGACTGCGCAGCGTCTGTCTGAGATGCCGCGCGGGAGCCTGCTGGCATCAGGCAGTCTGGCTGCCCCGCCTCACGCACAGAGATGAACGCAAACAAGCGCCTCCTGGGCCAAGCGGTACGTTGTCAGCAGCAGACTAGGACGGGCCATTGCCGACGCACGGGCCTTTCCCTCGAGGACGCGGGGCAGGCAGGAGCCGGCTCAGCCCTGCTGCGAGGACAGGGCACCTGCCTCAGCCCCGCCAGCTGCTCCCGCCTGGGCCTGACGCACGACACGACACGACACGACACGACACGACATGCAGGCTAGCAAGCACACCCCGCGCTGCCCGTCACTCTCCTCCAGCACTGACGCTGCGCTGGGGAGTTGTACTTACAAGGTAAGTTGGCTTCAAGTTCTGCAACCTCTGTAGAAACAAAGAGATTATTGTCAATATCAGTGAATTACTCCACATGAAATTACCAGCTTTAAATTACCAATTTCTTCCAGAACCCTGGGGAAAAAATAGATGAACTGAACAAACTGAAACCTACACTTGGCTTGAAGTAAACTTTACTCCATGAAGTTGCTTTCAAGTATACAAAATGACACGCAGGATGCCCACGCAGCCGAACACGAAGGAGAACCGTAACGTCAACAGAAGTGACCTCCAGGCCAGCCGTCGGGGCTGCTCTATGCAACCTGTTCCCCCAAGGAGTGAAGCTCCTGCCCCAAACTGATCTGCTGATACACACGTGCCTCTCCCAGCTTCTCAGCCCTGCGTCCCAGGCCCCGTACGTGCTCACTTTCCAGCGAGGGAGTCTCCTCCTGCGGGAGGCGCCCGCCCTGGGAGCCACACTCCTGGCCCTAGTGCCCTCCTCCAGGGCCTCTTCTGTCGCCATGACAGCACCGAAGCAAGCAGCCCTCAGCCATCCAGCTATTACAGAGCTGCCTGGGCAGGCGAGTGGGCTCTGGGATGCCCTTCAGCTGTGAGGACGAAAGGAAGGAGGAGGTTTCTGCCTGCGTTTCAAAGGACAAGCAGAATTTGGTCTGTAGAGGTGAAGGCTGTCAGCCACGTGCAGAAGCACAGCGCACGGACACACAGAAGCCAGAGCGAAAGGTGTGGCCAGAGCACGGGAAACGAGGCTCGGGGAGGCCCCGAGAGCACCGCTCCCCATTCTAAAGTGTATTCTGCAGCAACACCAGCCGAGGGAGACCTCTGAACCAAGTCTCTAAGCTTTGCCTCCAGAAGACCTTAGGACGGGCACAGTGAGAGCCAGGCAACCTGAGCCAGGTGACCTGTGAGCTGGGCACTCAGATAGGCAGCTAGGCCGGCAAAGGCCGGGAAAGGCAGGGTGCTTGAGAGCCGAGCACGGAAGGAGCTGCCAACTGTGAGGGCGAGAGGGGTCCAAGGTGGCACAGAGGGCTGGGGAGCCTGGGAGGAAGAAGCTGAAGTCTGGGTGCACAGCCAAGGTCAGAGTCGAAGAGCCACTGCAGAGTGATGACGCCTGATGTCATGAGACTGACAAAGGGGAGACTGGGGAGAAGAACCTCAGCAGAAAGCAGAAGGCAAGGAGCCAGGAAAGTTACTGATAAGAAACAGGTGGAAAACTAGGAGACATGGGGAATGTGGTGATTCAGTAAACAGGGGACAGACTGGTCCAAGGGGAAGGAGGTCCAAGACATGACCAGCGGATGTGATGGACCCTGCTGAGGGCATTCAAACAGGAAGGCAAGTGGAAAGACAGAAACCAGATTTAAAAAACTAAAAAGCGCCGTGGCTGGTTTGGCTCAGCAGTTAGAGAGTCGGCCTGCGGATCAGAGAGTTCTGGGTTCAGTTCCCGCTAGGGGCATGTACCAAAAAACAAAACAAAACAAACAAACAAACAAAAAACTAAAAAGCAAATGAGCAGTCAAAATAAAGATGCTATAGGTATGACCATTCTTTCCAGTGATATGGAGAGCAGAAGGGAGAGAAGGGGTGAGGAGGGATGGGGAGGGATGGGGTGGGGAGAAGTGGGGAGGGAGGAGGAGGGGAGGGGTGGGGAGAAGGGAAGGGAGGGGGAGGGAGGAGGGGAGGGGTGGAGAGGGGAGGGGAGGGGTGGAGAGGGGAGGGAGGGGGAGAAGTGGGGAGGGAGGAGGAGTGCGGGGCACAGTGTTCGCAGAGCTCAGAGCTGAGTGCCTTAGTGGGAGACCGGCAGGTGGTCCTGCTCGGAGGCTGAGGGTGAGAAAACCCACAGGCCTTTGGCTTCAGCTGACTGAGAATCTGGGTAGGGACAAGTGGCCCACAAAACGTATCAGCTCTGGGGTTCCAGGGGTTGGAATGGCGTCCAGAAAGTGGAGTGGGCCAGAGGAGCCAGGGAGCGACGCTGTCTCGGGGCCCAGGGCATCAGAGCCAAGCAGCAGAGCTGGGCGTGGGCGAGCAGTGACCCCGGCGTCCTCTGGCTATGACTGGAAAGGACCAGGTTCTGGGATGGGTGCAAGCCCAGGGTCCCCTCCTTGGTGGTCTTAGGTGGCACATTCAAACACACCCATTAACAAACCACCACGAAGACGAGCCAGGAGAACCCACATCATCGCTGTCACAGCGGCCACAGTGGGCTCGAGTTCCAGCCTCCTGACTGGTCCACTCTCGCCCTGCCCTTGAGCAGGGTGCTCACTAGAGCAAGCGGGTGTGGAGGACCAGAGCGCTGATGTCCCGTGGCACCCACGCCAGGTCCTCCGACAGGGACACACACAGGGCATTCATTTGATCAGAAAAGTAGGGATTTTATCAAGTGAGTCATTCATATTAATTACTTTAACATACATGTTATCCATATACTTAAACTATGTTTATTGGCAAATTCTATTTACATATTTTATTAAGCTCTTATTTAACTGTGTTGATAAGAATTTACAAGAAACGGTCCTTGGTGGCCCTTCCTGTGAGGGGCTGATGCCGGCCCCGCCCCGGCTTCCCCGGGCCTGTCCTGCGTGCAGTCAGAACTCTGCCTGCCCAGCTATAAAAGCCCCATGAAACAACACACGTGCCCAGAGAACCGGCGGGGGGGGGAGGGGGGACACAGGGAGGTGCTGACCAGGGCATGACGACAGCTGAGCAACAGAACTGCCCCCACACCACAGGCACAGGCCTCCCTCTAGGACAGGCTGCGCTCCGGCTGCAGACCACCACCCGGGGAGGTCCTCCTGGTCTTCTCAACAGCTGTGAGAGCGCCCTCTGCACACCACACCCAAACCCACCCCAGAGCGGGCTCGGTGCCCACCACGGCCCAGTCCGCAGAGCAGCCTCCTCAGCAGCCCTGTACACACCAGCAAACCAGCTCTGCGTGGGCCCAGGCCTCTGAGTGTTACTGCCCCGGCGACAGGTCATTGCTGTCGGCCCTTTGCCAAGCTAAAATGCTTATACCCAGCTAGCCACACCGATGGACCTGACGATGCCACACTGTGGTCCTGAGTTCAAGTCCTAAGATGAGCGTTATGCCTGCACTTCCACGGCCAGTGCAGCTCACTCGGGGAAGGCGGACAGAGCTGGGGACAGCCCTCAGGCCCAGTCAGCAATGACCCCCACAGGCAGGACACCTGCAGCTTCTGGTCCAGCAGCCAGTGCGGGCACCAGGACTTCACAAGGATGCTAGCCCAGCACCCACGACAAAGTAAGCCGCAGAGCTCGGCGGCGATGCGCTCAGGGAGCGGGCACGAAGACCACCCCCGCAGGCGAGGGCAAACACTAGTTCACCAACACCAACAGCTACCACCGCAGAGCCCATGTGCACACTCTGACCGGACACAAGGGAACTGCTTTCCACGCCAGAGGGCTCTTGGCAAACGGACCTTCCCTGCATAACCTTTGTGCCAAAGGACTTAGCCCCCCCGAGGGAACAGGAACTTCAGACATGTTCACGCTGCTGAGGTCTCCCCAGTTCCCAGATGCTAGCACCTCCACCGCACACTGGCCCAGCCTTTCTGGGAGGCACCAGGCACCTTGCACAATTCCGTGGCTGCACAGCTTCCTTCTGAGAAATGACTCTTCCTTTCTGACTAAAGATCAAACCACAGAGCCCACTTGAGGCATGACCACACGGAGAGATCACATCACAGAGGGCACCGCCATGGCCCCCCACGCACACGCTCACCCCCTCTGCAGTGGGCTGCTCTACACAGTGCTCCAGCTGGTTCCAGCCAGCCACCACCCCAACCCGCACACTCTCCATGGCAGAAGCTGCACACTCACCAGCCCCGGGACAGTGCCTGGCCCCGAGCCTGGTACAACTGCTGGCAAGGCAGCTGTGGCCCCTGCGTGAATGTCCTGAGCCACGAGGAGCCTTTCTCCTGGAACAGCTGGGGATCGGGGCTTCCAAAGGTGCTGTGGACAAAACTGTCCCCACCCAAAGTTCCTCTGTTGAAGCCCTGCCCCTCAGTGGGACGGTATGAGGAGGTGGGCACCTGGGAGTTAATCAGGGTTGGACGAGGACATGAGGGCGGGGCCCTCGTGATGGGATCAGTGCCCCTATGGGAAGTCCCCAGGTGCTTGCAAGCCAGTCCTCTCCAAGAACCGAACGTGCCGGTGCCCTCATCTTGAGCTTCCAGCCTCCAGAGCCATGAGAAATAAATGTCTGTTGTGTAAGCCGCCCAGTCTGTGGTATTTTGTTATGGTGGCCCGAGGTGACTAAGGCAAAAGGCCAATCCTAGATGCAGATGGTTCTTAGCAAGAGCCCGTTCCAAACCCCATCAGACAGCACCAGGAGAGCAGTTGTGCCCTTTGACCCAGGCAGAGACAGTAGCTACTTCCCAGGAGACCTGACCACCTCCTTCCACCTGAACCACCAGCCCTTAGATCTGAACTAAGCTCTCTCTCAGCTCCCTGTCAGGGCACCAAGCACCTCTCTGCACTCCAGCACCCACGCACAGTGCCTTCCCCTGGGGAACACCTGGCACCAGGGCATCAGCCCCTCCACGGAGACAGCACAGCTGCAGTCCCCACCCCAGCCCCACCACACATCAGCCCTCCATTCAGTCGAAGGGCCTTACAGCAGCACACTACAGGGCGAAGGCCCAGAGCACCCACGGGCCCCTCCGCACTCTGGGGGCCAAGGCTGCAACCCTGACCCCGGCACGGCTGTAGCAGAGACTGGGATGGTGGGAATGGAGCCCCAGGCTTCATGCCACCCACTCCAGCAAGAGCAGACAGGACTGGCCGGAGACCCTTCCTGCCCGCCGGGCTGTGCAGCACACCTGAGGGGTCACCCCGTGTCCTGGCAGCTGCCCTGCTCTCTAACCTGCGACAAAGCATCTGAAGCCAGCCTGAGGGCGGCTACCGCAGCTGCCAGCAGAGCCCTTCTCTCTGGGCCACGGCTCTGGCTTTTTAAACACACACTATAGCATGTAACCCCCGCTTCACACTCTGCTAAATGCAGAGGGGTCCCCCCAAGTTCACACTGAGCCCCAGCCTCATCCCACCCCCACAGTGTGATGGTATTAGGAGGTGGTGCATTTGGGGATATCCTGCCCACACGGCAAACTAAGCCCTAAGCCCACCCCAAGTCTTGGGCAGGGCCAGGGCGGAGAGAGCCGCTCTGCAGAACCAGAACGTTCTCTTCTCCCTCATCCAGGAACTGCACTGGAAGGAGTCCTTCCGGTACCACCCACGACTGAGCTGCCCATGTGGACACAGAAGCGCTCTCCCGAGGGAGGCCTCACGTGGCACCCCACGGAGATGCCCTGCACCAGGTGCTGGGAGCACCTGCAGTGGGTGGGCAGCCAGGCCCTGCGCTGTGCAGAGCACACTTGGAGCAGGGCAAGCCGACACCACAGCCAGCCCCAGAGCCCACCCGCTGAAACAGAAGGATGCCAGGGACCACCTGACCACAGGGGCTGCCGCCCACGAACAAGGCTGCACAGACCCAGTCCCTCTAGTGCCCAGACCTGGCCCTGAAGTCAGGCAGCTCGATCCCCAATCTCCACATCTACAAAGACTGAAGAGGTGCCTGAAGCCCGCTGAGGTCTGCGGGCTCGCTGTCAGCGGGCTGGCGCCCAGCAGGCACTAACTCTGCTGAGCGGACAAGTGAAAGGCCCGGGACAGACATGCTCCCACTGGACAAAAGGGGCCAACTTCTAACGGACAAGACCGGCAGGCATTCTGCCCGAGGGCTTTTTGGGAGGTGGGGAGCACCATTAGACTCAGCAGCCCCACAAAGGTCCAGTGCCACCTGCCTTTGCCTGAAAACACCATGATGCTCCCCAGTAAGGGCGACAGGAAACGCACACTCTCCCCGTGTCCCCAGCTCCCAGGGGTCAGTGCACACAGTGCCCTTGGTCCTGCAGCTACAAGCCTCTCTCCAGCTCGGGCCGGAGGACGTCCCTGAGACCACCGGGGCACGCGAAGAGCTGGGGTGAAGCCGCAGGTATGGCAGAGCATGCCCTTGGCCAGCCACTCCCAGGCAGGCTCCAGTGTGTCCAGGGAGGGCTGACCCCAGCCTTCTGTCGCCCTTCAGGACTGGACCCACTATTCCAAGAAAAAAAAACAGGTGCCCCCGTGAGCAGCCACACTAGCCCTCGCTGCTGGGACAGCTGTCCCTGCTGGTGGTCAACCGCCTGTTCCCTCAGCTCACTCACAGCCATCGGCACCAAGCCAGATCCCACAGCACGTCAGGTCAAGTGTGGCAGTGGACCAGACAAAAAACACCCACGTCTGCCTGCAAGTCTCTGTTCTTTCCTTTGGTCTGTGGGAGGCATGTCCTGCCCTCTCAGTGAGGGCTGTCAGCAGGTGGCCTTCAGCTCAGTCCTTCCAGGGACCGTGTGTGCTGTGCCAACCCCCACCCAGGGCCACACCTCACAGGACACCCCCCCTGGGCGACTGACGGATGCAGGGCAGGACCGCCTCTGCACCTCTGAAGGGCCACGCGTGCTCCTGTAGAGGCATCGCAGGGCCTTCCCTGAAGCGTGACTTCACCCTGCCCGCCCCTGCTTCCCTCGCCTCCCCCTGCACAGTTACGCCCCAAGGACACTCTGCTGCATGCCAAATTCCCTGCTCTCAGACCCAGCCTGCGGCACCGAGTCCCAAGACACATTAGCACACTTTTCTGCAACCTACTGACCCTCATGAGTAATAGTCCCACACGAGCCAGAGTCAGCCCAGCATGACAGTCTTGACTGTAGCGATCTTGCTGAACTTGGATACCCTACTGTCCTCAAAGTCCCAAAGGGAGCTCTGCCTAAAGAGACTTTCACCATAATCGCGGTACTCACCAGGCCAATGTCTCACCAGCCCCACATCGGTCACGTCCTGCCGTCATCAGAAACCCCAGGATGAAGGCCACGGCCACAACCAGCAAGCACAGGAGCGCTCCGGGATCGGCCAAGCCGTCGTCAGTCGTCAGAGCGTTCTTTCCCACGTGACTCTTGTTCACGGCCTCCGCCCCGTCAGCCCACCCTGCCCTCTACCCGCCCTCCCCACAAGCCCACACCATTCTGATCAGCTGGCCTGGCCCAGCCCCCCGAGGCAGATGGAGGGCACAGGCCCATGAGGGGTTTGTCACCCTGAGCCCCCAGGCCCACAACCACTGTCAACTCAAGTGCTCTGGGCCCCAGAAGCCTGACCACCACCAGCACCTGAGAGGATACAAACAGGTGACCTCGCGAGGCGGTTCTGAACCTCCCCTTGACAGTCTCACAAGGTCGGAGTACCTTTGCGGAGCCTGTAAACTCAGCCCCAGACACCTCCTGCCCTCGGAGCAGGAGCAGAGTCCTGCTCGTGAGCCCCGTGGGCTCCCCAGGCCGTGGCGGCCCTCCCGCCGTGAGCGCTCCCAGGTGAAGCCCCGCGCTCGCTCTTCTGTCCTGCTGCCCGTCTCTGCCGGCGGGGGCTGCTCCCCAAGCTCGCCCTGCCCGGCGCGTGGGTGCGCAGTTCTGCTGCAGTGACGCTGCCTCCCGCAAGGTTCTCAAGCCCTCTGCGTCCAGCTTCAGAGTGAACCACCGCAAGCAAGGCTTAGCAAAAGCCAGTAAGAACAGCACTAGCAAGTGCCCAGCAGAGGGCCTGGCCCTAAGTGCTCAGTGTACAAAGCTGCTCTGACACGACCAAGGTGGGGACGTGGTCAACAAGGGGGGACAGTCGCCAGCTCCCACCTGCTCCCCACCAGTGAAGGTCTGGATCTTCCTCACTGTAACTCGTCAGACACCAAAACAGCCTCACGCCCAGGACCACAACAACACACACCACACCCTGCTCCAGGCTCTGCCTGGCTCCCGGGTCCTTGGCAGACGGGACTCTGGAGCCAGCACCCGGGAAAGAGATTCAAGTCCTAAAGGGCCCACCCGAGTGGGGTGCTCCCGCCATGCCCACCCTCTGACCCCTCAGGGTCAAGTGCTGTCCCTGACAGAGTAGGTAACGCCCGATAGGACAGAACGATTCTTCCCCTACCAGGCGGCCTAAGCCAGAGCCGAGTCAACATTCAGGGCCACCAGGACAGTGAGGAAGCACGCGCCCCAATCCAAGGCCTTCCTGTTCCAACTCCTTCCCAAGCTGAGCGCGGCTGTGCTTCTGAGGGGACCCGACACCCCATGGCACCTGCCTCCCTGAACACAAGCACGGGCAGTTCTGACAAACCACCCAACCCTCCTTTGCCTCCTAGCTCCTGACACTTAAGAACTGGACACACAAGTCATGCGCTCCCTCAAGGCAGGGGCTGTTTCTCCCTCACCTCCTAGTCCTCATGAACCCGGGAAGCTGCCCATGCTCCTGAGAATTTAAGTCTGTGCCATCAGTGATGCAAAAGCTGCACACACACGTGCACACACATTCCACAAACCTTCTCCAGGGCTGCGGCTCTGGGAGGCTCTGCGGTTAATGCTATGAGGGGACCTGAGTTTGCAGTCTCCTCCGGCTCTGACTTAAATACATGGAGGAGGACCCCAGGAGATTACCGAATTCTACTCCCTCCCTCGGTGCTGAGCAGCCCAGAAGCAGCGATGACCCCTTGCCCACAGCACCGCGACCAGTCTTAGGCCTGCTGGTCTCGGGACCTCAGTCCTTCCTCTGGCACCTGGCAGCCCACAGAGACTACTCCAAGTGCACGAGACACCGTTTCTAACGCCAGCTCGTCACCAGCAGCATTTCCAGTGCAGCAGTTCCTGTCGTAAGCACCACGCGGTTCCGGTTTAGCATGTTTCCCAGCAGGCCCAGCCAGCCCCGTGGACATCACCTTTAACGAGCAGCCTGTCTCTCACAGACACCCTCCGGGTGGAGTCGGAGGCCGTGGCTGATGCCCGGGACCCTTTGAGACCGTCATCCCGCTTCAGTTTGCTCGCCAGCGTCAGCATCACTGCTGCCTTTGCCCTGGAAGACAGACGGAAGCTCCGTTAAGGACACGTCTCCACAGCGGCTGGACACTGACCGCAACGATGTCGGTGGTTTTCATTTTTGCCTTCAGTTATGGAAAAATTCAGCATATTAGCTCTATGAAGACTGGAATCCTTCAAAATGGATTTGGGCAATCTCCCTGTCATCCTCCGTAAGTCTAACTGTATAAAGTACGAGTTAAAATTTCAGAAAGGAAAGCCACGCCCTGGCCGGTTAGAGCGTCGGCCCATGGTCCAGAGAGACCCAGGTTCAGTTCCCGCTAAGGGCACGTACCTCGGTTGCTATTTGTCCCCGGCCCTGGTTGGGGTCGTGTGGGTGGCAATCACTTGATGTGTCTCTCTCACGCCGATGTTTCCTCTCTTCCTCCCTCCCTCTCGTGCTGTCTGAAGATAAATGCAAAAATGTCCTCGGGTGAGGATAAAAAAAAGAAAAGGAGAGACATGGACTTAACACTCACTGGGCGCCAGGCCCTGGGATGCGGTGGGGACAGAGCTACCGCAGAGCTCCCGCTCTAGGGGAGCCTCCGCTGACAGGCCCTACGTGGGCTCACCACTGTCACAGTAAGTCTGCCTTTCCCCGCTGCGGGGACATGCACCTGCGTCTGGCCCACACGCCTGGGCCCGTGGCAGACTAAGGGGAGTGCCAGCTTCTGGGGAGGACAGGACACCACAAGGCTTTGCTTTCCTTCCTCCTGTAACAAAGGAATGGCTAGAACTTTAATAAGTATCTTTAATTTACATTTTCAGGTAGTATGAACATCAAGATTAAGTTATAATTAATGCCCCAAACTAGATGGTCTTCTCTGGCTGCTTCCAACCAAGCTGTGTTTCAGGCTCCCGCGAGAACTCACGGGGAAGGGTAACCATGACCAGCACAGGCGACGCACCTGGCTGCTTGGGAGCATGGGCTAGAGAAATGTCCTCATCTGTGGCGGCATCGCTGTCCTCTGGAGTCTGCCCCGTTGCCAGCACGAGAGGCCCTTCGCCCGCAGGCCTCCTAGCTCGTGCTTGCCTGGCCCCGTTGGAGGGACCCTGGAGCTTCTTTACACTGAGGGCGAAATTCGTCACCAGCCCGATACTTCCAGAACTTCCTTCATTGCTTTACTATCAATTCCTTTCGATACCACTCTATTTTCAAAAGAAAATTACCCAAAACTTCCAGAGGAAAACTTGGCCTAAGCTCAGTCCGTAAAGTTCTATTTTCTATTATTTGTACCATGACGACAACGCATCAAGTGTCTCCTGAATTGTACATGGCCTGTGAAGACACACACGTGCATGCGCACACACACCCCAACCCCTGAAAGACTCTCTGGTCTAAATCTTCAGAAGATAGTTCAGCCACACATTAGGGCTCATAAGCTATGGGAATTTCGATCTGGGAAGGCCTCCCTGACTTACACTCGTTTTGTTATTGTTAATCCTTACCCGAGGGCATCTTTCCACTGATTTTTTTAGACAGAATGGAAGGGAGAGGAGGGGGAGAGAAACATCGATGTGAGAGACACATCTATTGGTTGCCTGCAGCACGACCCCGACTGGGGGCCCAGGACCAAACCTGCAACCCAGGTACCTGCCCTTGACCAGGAATCGAACCCGAGACCCTTCGGCCCATAGGCTAACGCTCTAACTGCTGAGGCACACCAAGGCCACTCACACTCTTTTCACAGACGTGGACCCCGGGACCACGGGGCCAGGAACGGGCTTGTGTGAGGCCGCTCAGCTGCCAGAAGCAGTCACCACAGAAACACTAGTTTCTCTCCCGGACATGGGGACGTTTTTACCTTGAGGGTTGTGACGGTTTCAGAGGTATACATCCCTTCAGACCAAGCACACGGATACTTTAAATATGTGCAGTATGGTATACTTCAATTACACCTCAAGAAAGCTGACAGAATGTGAAAACACACATTTGTTTTCTCATCCCCATCACCATGTCACCTCTTCAGGTGGACCTGCGTAGAGGCAGGGACCACAACCAATGAGCACACATCCTCTCAGGTTTACCCAGAGTGGGGGCTCCTGGTGCAGCTTATGAAGTAACTTCACAGAGTGGGGGGCACTGGGAGTGGGGCCAGCATGAGGAAAACCTATGGGCGCTGCAGCCCACAAGCTACCAGAGACAGCGCTCACTCAGCCCTACTGGGAATAATCCCTCAGGACCCTTAAGCAGATGCGGGGCACAAAGCAGTGTCTGCCACCCACTGAGAATGAGCACATCAGGCCTACCGCATCGTCACGGCTGCCCGATGACGGCCAAGGCATGTCTGCCCCTGGGGGTCCGGCTGGAAGCACTCGGTTTTTATCTGCTAGCTGGCCTTGGCAATGAAATGTGCAAACATAAAATAAAAGCACTGTGTGCAGAGTTCAGCAGGTAGCACCCGAGGAAAGTCACAGTGAAGAGCCCCATGGACAAGCGAGGGCCTGGGCACACGCCTGCTCCCAGCTTCCTGAGGCCTGAACCACAGGAGCCGCTCAGAGGGTCCTGGCAAGACTCGCCGCACAAAAGGCTCGCAAACCCAGACACTCTTCTGTGTCACTGCAGCCTGAGGGCTCAGGCTGGCTCTTTCATCACCCTGCTGCCCCACACTGAATTCTTCTCTGGGGCAGTCAGCCCCACTCAATTCCACTTAGATTCCTGCTTGCAGTCTTCAGGCTGTGGCCCGACTGGGCTCTCACTGTACAAGGTATGAGGAAATAGCACCTGTGTTCCGTTTTCCACAGGAGAAAATACAAGACTCACTCCCCCAGCCTGCTGAGAAATGTCAGTACATGATGACCGTCTATTTCTCCATCACCTGTGTCATTACCACTCTAGGGATAAAAGGCCTACTCTGGAAATGTATCCACAGATGCTAAATTAACTCTAAACAGAGACTTGAAGGAAAATAATTGCTCAAACTGCCAAGCTGTTTGCTGAACAGCTCCGGCCGATCCAGAGTTCTCCTTTCCCTCTTCAGCACGCTCTGCACACTGAAGATCTGGGCTAAAACTCAACTTCCCTTTACTGCGGATTACACTCTGACTAAGGCAGCATTTTCGGAGACAGATCAGCATCTAGCACGCTGGGTCCCTAAATTCCACAAGCCGCAATGGGCCCATTCCAGTTCCTCTTCTGGGTGGGACCGCCTGGCTTCCAGACTGGTCAGGCAGATTGGAGTGTGCTATTTACTAGCTTCATCGCTAAGTAAGACATTCACTCCGCTCACCTGCCTGCAGGGGCAAAACCGGGCCGTGTCACCTGTGCAAGGAGCCGGGGTGGGGGTGGGGGCCAGTCAGCTCAGGGAGGGAAACTCCTGGTTTACAAGTCTTCCTGCCGTGAAAAACCCCGATCTAAGGGTAAAAGATGCAACTGCGTGCAGGTCACTAGGGGTCAAACAACTTCTCCAGCCAGAGGCCCGGATCGGGACATAGAAAAGCCCCCCTCCCACCTCCTCCCGCAGAGCCAGGGCCTGGAGCCTCCCACGCGGGCCGCAGTCATTCTGGTCGGCTGACCGACCTCCGGGCCCAACCCTTCTACCTTCGGCAGTAAGCCTGCCCCTCCAGCCGGCCTGCTGCCTGACCGGCAGGTAGGTCTGGGTGGAGGCCCTCAGTGCCCCGGCAGCTGGCCTCCGACCACCTGTCCCACCTGCACCCCCCCCCACCTGCCAGAAACGCTCTGCACAGGGCGGGCGGGCCTCCTCGTTCCCCGGCACCCAGCTCCTTTCTGGAAGCTTCTGTCGCAGGGGCCCCCCGATCGGAGCGCCCGGCGCGCCGCCGCCCGCAGTCCGTGTGCGGGGACAACACCGTCGCACCCGGGCTCCGGCAGCTGCGGGGAGGCCGCGCCGGGGGCGTGCAGACAGGGCGGCCCAGCCCCCGAACCAGGCGAGGACCGAGCGCCAGGCAGGGGCCACGCCCAAGGCTGCACCCCGGCGGGACCGGGCCGCGCACCAGGACCGGCTCCGCGGTCGTCCCAAGATGTCGCCCTCCGGCCGCTCCGCCCGGCGGCGGCCCCGGCCCGGCTCCGCGGCGGCCGCAGAGGCCTCCGCGTCCGGGTGCCGCTCCCTCCGCCACGTCGGGCCGGTGACCTTGGGCCGGCGCCCGGCGCCCCGTTTCCCTGGGCAGGGCGGCGAGCGGCACCCCCGCGACGGCGGCCGAGCGGCAGGCCGCGTGCGCCCGGCTCGGCGGTGCTCGTGCGGGCGGCCTGTCCGGCCCGGCCCCGGCCCTCCCGCCCGGCGGCCCCAGCGGCCGCCCGGCCTCGGCCCGCCTGGTGCAGCGGCGCCGCGGGAGCCGAGCCGCCCGGAGGCCCGCGACCGCCCTCAGCCGCCCCTCGCCCGCCGCGGGGCCGCGCGCTCCTCACCTGGGCACCTCGAGACAGGCGAGGCGGGCCCGGCGCCCAACACCATGCCCGGCCGGCCGGCGGCGGCGAGACGCGGCCCCTCACAGCCGCACCGGCTCCGGGCGGCGCGACCGGAAGTGGCGGGGCGGAGACTCGGCCACTCTGGCCCGCGGCGGCTGGAACCGCAGCGGGCCCTTTAAAAAAAAAAAAAATCAAAGCCCTGAAGAACTTTATTTGGCGCATGGTACGCGAACAACGGTGTGCGCCGCCGGCGGCTGGGCCTCGCTCATTGGCAGAGGACGCGGCCGGGGGCGGGGGCGGGGGGCGGATCTCGCGGCCCCCTCTGATTGGCGAGTGGGGGATGGGGGCGGGGCCTTTCGATCCGTTCCGGAGCCTGCGCTCGTGAGAGTCCCGGCCTCTGCCCCGTGTTACCGCGTCCATTCATTTAGTCTTGCGCTGGGCCTGGGCCTGTGGCTCGGAGGGCACCTGCGCCGCATCTCGGGGCATGTCCCCGCCGTGTGCCCAACACAGTGCCCAGAATGCAGAGGACAGGGCCGACCCCACAGCCTGCAGAGGAGCGAGTGGGCCCATTCATGTTCATGTCTTCATGGTGTTTATTCCTTCTTTCGTCTCTTACACTTTTGTAAAGTACTTTAAAAGTCTGTTTCGAATTGCACAGATTCTTTTCACGTCTATTTGTGTGATTGGCCATCAGCGCTCTGGGGCGGGAGGTCAGGCAAGGATCCCGGAACAGTGGGCCATCTGAAAGACGAGGTTCACCAGGAGAACCGGGAGGAATTTTATTTCCAGAAGCCCCACTGAAAGATTTGAAACTGTTGTGACACGGTGGTTTTCTTTCTAAGACAGGCTTCTGGCTCTGAGTGAGCTGGTGGGAGGGGAGTCAGGCAGAGAGGAGACCAGAGCCAGGAAGACCAGGGAAGAGCACAGCTCTTGGTATTCCTTCTGTTTGGGGACAGTTTCCTCCCGCCCCCAGCTAACTCTGAAGTTTCTCTACGCTTGGAAAGGCCATACAATCAGTTCCCGGTGTCCCTCTGCCTTTTCCTGCAGCTGCATGTCTGTGGTTCTTTCCCTTCCAGGCCCCCGAGCCAGCAAGGCCCTGGGTAAACACTGCACGAGACAGAAGTACCATAGGTGCACCTGTCATCTCCAGGAAGCATTACCAGCATGGTTGCTGGTGATGCAGGGGCAGCCTGGGGTCTGGGCATTCAGGAGGCCTTGCTGAGGGGCCAGGAAGGTGCCTTCAGCCCAGGGCTCCTTGTGGCACACTCTGGATGCTGACCCCACTGCTGTCTGTGTTTCATATTTTGTGTAGTACTTACACTTTTTGTTACACTAGGTATCTGATGTCCACTTCAGTGAGTGTTGTGGGCAAGATGCCACAAAACGCTGTTTTCCCTTAAAAGATGGTTGAACATGTATATCCATTAGAGATACATGAACGCTGGAGTGAACAAGGCAGGAAGCATCTGGAGCAGCCATCCCATGTTCTGAGCATTTGTATGTCCAGAGTGGGGTTTGTGATCTGCATCTTGGGCTGCAACCCCTGGGACCACACTGGAGTCACCTAAAGCAGTCACCTGGCATGTCACGGCAGTGCCACCTTTGGGTAGAGCCCTCCCCTTGCAGCTCTCTCTCCCTGGACACCTGGGTAAAGAACCAACATTCTGGTAACTCCTTTCCAAACCCTCAGGACTAAACTCCCACACCAGAACTCCAGTGACAGTGATGCTGTGACATCTGTTTGTGAAGAGGAGCCACCCTTCAGAGTGGACCTGGACCACTGCTTGCTCTGTTGGCATCAGGTGACTTGGCACAATCCCTTGGTTGGTCAGTAAAAGTCCTAAAAGCCTTAGAATCTTTTGACCCAGTAATTTCACTCTAGGGATTGGCCTGAGGAAGTAAGCCAAGAGCAGAAAAAGCCCTGGCACAAAAATGTCCATTGTGTTACAGAACTTGGAAGCAAACTCATGCTCGGCATTAGGGGAATGGTTAACTTAATTACCCCTCATTTACTTACAGAAACATTACACAGCCATTAAGCTTGATCATTACGCAGATTATGTAAAACCACAAACATTTATTAAGTGAAATAAGTCACAATCAAATTATATAAATTCAATGACTGCGATTCTGAGAAAGACAAATATATGGGCAGAAATACAATTTTTGTGTCCGGGTGGTAGGATTATGCGTACCTTTTCCTCTTTTTTTTTTTAACTTCCATTTATTTTGTTTATATATTTTCATAGCAATACAATACAAAGGTCTCTTCTAATTGATCCTTAATTTGAACATAGGTCTTATGCAAAATAAATGATTTTAATGCTGCTACTCACTAGAGAAATAAATATGGAGGAGCTTAAGGCTTCCCTGGACAGGTTGTTTAAAAACAGGCAATCCAAATCATGCTTAGAAAGCCTTTCTAAAGTACAAGAGGATACAACATCATTTTGAAATCAGCAGTGACTTGTAGAAATAATCTGTTTTTTGTTTTTAGATTAAAAAACATTTTTTTTTTCCTTTATTGAATTTAGAGAGAGGAAGGGAGAGGGAGAGAGAGAGATGGAAACATCAATAAGCGAGAACATCGATTGGCTGCCTCCTGCACGCCCCCCACTGGGGATATGGCCCACAACCTGAGCCCTGACTGGGAATTGAACTGGCGACCTCTTGGTGCAGGGGTTGATGCTCCATCACTGAGCCACACCAGCCGGGTTAATCTGTTAGTTTTAGTTCACGTCCACATGGCAGTACAGTTGCCTCCCCATGTGCTGAATATGCAGCACATTCAGGTTTATTCAGTGAAGTTCTGAACATACGTGTTACAGGAAAACACAGCCTGCCTCATGGCAGTCCCTGACAGGACCCACATTTGAGAGGCAGGAGGATGGCCCTTGGGAACATGGGTGCAGGTCAGGATGAAGAGAGGACAGAGGCCATGCACAGTAGGCGGAGGGAAGATTCAAAGATATCTGCCCTCACTGTTATTACCTAATATTAGCCTGGAAGTTCTGGCTAACTCAATAAGGCACTCACCAGAAATGGAAAATATCATTAGAAAGGCCGAGGCAACATGACCATAACAACGAGATAATGTGATCAGCTCCCTCCATCTCCCAAGAGGCAACTGAAAAATCTAAAAATGAATAAGAGATGAACTGAGTGATTCAACTGAAAAATAAATAAAAAGGTATATTTTCCGTACCAACAACAACCAATTAGAAGTTATCAAAAAGTCTACTTCACACTGGGGGAAGAAAAGACAAGTGAAATATTTAAACAATGGCAAACAGGCATGATCTGGTTTGTGAAAATTAATACAGGAAACCTCAACTGAAGTTGGACTCTGGAGGTCCTGTAGCGGGGGCCATCACCCTACCTACCACTCCTTATCACTTACCCCAAACATGAGAAGATTGGACTTGCGTCTCCAACAGGAAGGTGTGCTATCTACTTTACTACCTCTGCAGGAGGGAGGAAAATTTTCTTCTTGCCCAGCAACAAGCCCAGCCAATGAGAAAGCATCATCACTCTGAATTCTTTCCTCTAGTGAACTTCCCATTTTCTTTGCCGGGGACTTCTTTGCCCCACGCTCTTTCATATAAAAGCCTTCCATTTTGTATAACTCCTCAGAGTATCTGTCTGCTTGCTAGATGAGATGCTGCCTAATCTATAAATCATTTAATAGGGCCAATTAGCTCTTTCAATGGACTCAGTTGAATTTTTAAAAATATGTTTTTATTGATTTTTAGAGAGAGAAGAAGGGTGATAGAAACATCAATCTGCTGCCTCCTGCACACCCCATGTAAAAATGTACATGGCAGTGTCCTGGCCGGTGTGGCTCAACGGTTAGAGTGTTGGCCCACCGACCAGAGAGTCCTGAGTTTGGTTCCCACTAAGGGCACGTACCTCTGTTGTGGTTTGTCCCTGGGGCCCCGGTTGGGGTCGTGTGGGTGGCAGCCAGTCAATGTGTCTCTCTCACACTGATGTTCCTCTCTCTCTCTTCCTCCTTCTCTCCCTCCTACTCTATCTGAAGATAAATGCAAAAATGTCCTTGGGTGAGGATAAAAATAAAAATGTGCATGGCAGCCCTGGCCGGTTTGGCTCAGTTGGCTGAGTGTCAGCCCATGCACCGAAAGGTCACCGGTTAGATTCTCGGTCCACTCACATACCCAGGTTGCAGGTTCAATCTCATGGTGCGTAGGAGAGGCAACCAATTGATCTTTCTCTCTCTCTTCCTCTTCCTTCCTCACTCTTCAAAATCAGTAAGACATATTTTAAAAACTGTACATGGCAGATGTGCTTGGAGCTCACATCCCGTGAAGGAACCAGCCAAGAGCCAGCTAGCAGGAGAACACGACCTGAGCTCCAGGGAGGTCCCAGGCGAGCCTGTGGAGTATGGCTCAGAGGCCGCATGGCATGTCGGGTGAGGAACAGGGGAAATGTCTCCCTATGACTACTGTATTGTTTTGAGCAGCAACAGCCTGGAAGCCACTTAAATCTCCCCCACAGGGCCCTAGGAAAATAGAAGGTGGGCTCACTGAGTTTTGTCATACCTCTCGGCATAAAAAAGTGCTGTTTACCTAAAAATAAAAGTCAGTTATTTTACCAGCATAGTGGATTTATTTGGGCTCAGCAAAGAATTGCAATTCAGAACATGCAAGCTATAGCAAAAGCTATAAGCCAAGTCCAATCAACAACAGAGAGGAATGTTATTTTATGGAGAAAAAGGGGGAAGTTGGGAGAAGTTGAACAAAAGTGCGTTGGAGATCATCGAGAGTTCAGGGAGATGAGTTTCTCATTGGCTGAGTTGCTGGGGCAGCTGATGTCTTGTAGGAGACACAACATACATCTTTTCCCGTGGGGGCTATAATTGAAGATTCTTGCCAGTAGACAATTCTGTTGGCGTCTATAATTCACAATTCTTCCTGTACCTGACATGACAGGGTCTGTGTGAGAGCTCCCCCTTCTGGTCTTTTGTCTCCATATTCGTGTGGCTTCCCTTTATTAATTTTCAGTGCCCGTCGTATACTACAAAATGGAAAAATGAGTGGCATGAATAGTATA